GCTTAGCTCTGTTGTTAGGCTTATGGGTTAAGAAGATCACGGGGTTGAATTGTTCATATTATGGTTTTGATATTAAAGATTATGTGCTGGTTGTCAAGCTTATAGACTGGTTGCTAAGATTAGAGCCCTGTTGTCAAGCTTATGGGTTGGTTGCTATGGTTAGAGTCCTGTTGTCAATCTTATGGACTGGTTGTTAAAGTTAGCTCTCCGTTGTTAAACTTATGGAATGGTGGCTAAGGTTAGCGCCCTCTTGTGGAGAGGTCCCTTGCTGTTATTCAGCAGCGTTTGGTTGTCACGGTCACCGGCGTATATTCTCTGCTACTGCATTCAATGTTCCTCCTGATCTTCTCAACCAATAAGCTATACAGTAGAGCTAAACGTTACAACAAGGAGCTACAGATAGCTACGATTCCACAAGTTCAACAACAGATAGCTAACCTTAGCAACCAATACATAAAAATTGACAATAGAGAGCTAACTTTAACAATAAATCAATAAGCCTGACAACAAAGAGTCAACCTTAGCAACCAATCCATAAACACGTAAACTTAACAACCAGTCAATAACCTTAACAGTGAGTCCATAATATTTCTTGATAAATCGTTAAACTTAACAAAACAACATGTATCCAAAAATAATTTCTTTTACAATGAACTTGCTACAACCTTATAACAAACAAATAAGCCTATCAACAACCCCGTAAACTCAACAAATAAGCTTGAATACACGATGACTACAGCATGTATTACCATTGTCTCTACTATATGTCCCATAACCGTGGGTGAATATAATATTACCATTTTCTCTACTATATGTCCCATAACCGTGGGTGAATATAACTGGCTCCCTTCAATGAGCTTGTACAATAAAAAGATAGTTAAGATTCATAGGTGCGTGGAATATGATCAATTCAGATGGATCAATGTGTGAATCACCTAGGAAGGCATGCGATGCTGTTGTAGATAGTCCTCTGGCTTACGTTTACACTGTATAGCTATACAGTGTTAACGTAAGCCAGAGGACTATCTCCACCAGCATTCGCATGCCTTCCTAGGTGATTCACACATTGATGCAGCTGAATAGAAGGTCTATTGGGCCACGAGCCCTGCCGGCATCTACTGCAGCCGGACCCTTAATCCTCCTCTTCTCTCTCTCTCTCCTCTTCTCTTTCTCTATCCCCTGCTCCTTCCCCCAAAAACCTCCCTCGATTCTTTGAAGTTGTCCATGTTGCTGTGGAAGCTTTATCGTAGCTTTGCTTGCTTTCGCAACAACAGTGGCCAATCTCAAAGAACCAGCAACGTGCCCAAGTCTCACCCAATTTGTCAGGGGAGGCCTCACCGTACAACCAAGTGCTGGCTTCTTGATGCCGGTGAGTTCATAATACCACAACTGCACATTAGAGATATAAAAACTTAACAAACACCTTCATCCGTAACAATTAATAAAGTAACCCTAACAATAAAAACGTAACCTTAACAACCAAACCGTAATATTAACAACCAAACCGTAACCTTGACAACGAAACTGTAACATTAACAACTAAACCCTAACCTTCACAATCAGTAAAAAACATGATTACTTACACAAACTAGAGGGGTACACCCTTGCAGATATAATGTCGTCTTCCCTGGCTCAGGACCCTTCAGTGCCCTCTCTATCGCGTCAGATGTCTCACTGAATATATAGGTCCCCCAAGCAGTGTTGTTGACCTGTTCGATGCTGTCGACGTACTTGAATAAATGCCTAGGAACGCCGGAAACACTGCTTGGACACCAAATCATGCTCAGCTGATAGAGGATCTGTAGCAGGACAAAGTCCTTCACATCTCGGCGATCAGAAGATAGTACCAGCTTCAAGAGCAGGTCCTCCACATTGCGTCTGGTGGGGCCTCCTTTGGGGGGAGCTATACTGCTGGAACCCCCCGCCTCGGGTTTGTCAAAGAACCTGGACCAAATCCTATTTTTCCTGTCCCGATTGTGGTCAACATGAAGCCCCTCATTGGAGAACCATGTATGCTCCATTACCCACTCAAGGTTGAATGAGCATGGGATCTCTTCTCCATCATTCCTATCGGTGAAGACGAATTTTTTGCTCTTCTTGTCCCACTGACTCAAAATGTGCTCAAAGGTGGGAAGATCGACGCCAGGTGGGCCAAATTGGACGTAGTGTCTGAATACACTATCTTCGTAGGCCGCAAAATGCCTTGGCCCCATACGCGTCACCAAATTCTGCATGAAGTCGTGATAGGCACCGAAGCTGGCGGTGGGCCGCAACGTAATAGCTGGCTTTGCCCTTTTTCTACAAAACAAAAACACAAGACGAGAGCATTTTTGAGTATAATCAGTAAACATAACAGCTATGCTGTAAACTTTGCGGGTAAACCAACAACCTTAACAGCAACCACATAACCTTAACAACAAAAACCTAACCTTAACAACCAAAGCCTAACCTCAACAACTAAACAACAACCTTAACAATAAAGGCAGTAACCAACAACCTTAACAACAACCCCACAACCTTATCAACCAAAACCTAACCTTAACAACCAAAGCCTAACCTCTACAAATAAACAACAACCTCAGCAATAAAAGCATAGACCTTGCATGTTAACAGTAACCTCAACAGCTAACAGACACCGTAATTTTGGACCTTCCCACCAGACTAAGAGCATTATCAATCAAACCGTAACCTTAACAACATAAAACTTGCGGTAAAAATTACCTTTTGGGTGCTGCCACGTGCTTCTCTTCTTCTCCTCTCTGTAGACCAAGGAGCGCTCTAGTGGCATCGTTGGACGCGCCGGTGGTGCCGGTGCTGCCCTCTAGACCTTCGCGTGGGCCTACACTTAAATTTTGAGGCGGGCTTCTGGGATGAGAATGGCTGGTTGCGATGTCCTCTAGAACATCACCAATCGCAGCCCGAGCTTCAGATTCAGCCCGCACTGCAGTTGTCTGGGCTCTTTCTGAGATTTCGAACCGCTGGGCGTAATCGCTTTCGCTGTGGTCGGCATTGAGGTTGGCTTTGGGGGTTGAATCGCCGGCCATTTTGATCCCTTTGCTTTGATTCGGTTTGAGTTGGGGTCGGTTGATTTAGGGCTAGGGTTTTGAATTGGGTTTCTGGAGTCGGTTTGCTTGCAGAAGAGAGAGATGACAGGGTACGGACGAGGAGGTAACTCATAACGGGGAATTTTAAACGTAAGGGTATTTTGGGCATTTCGAGCGGGGTTTAAACGGCGTTACGCCTGGGGATTGGTTTTGGGGGCTGGAAGAAAATCGGGGGCGGTTTTGGGGGTAAAAGGAACGTTGAAAAGGTCTTGGGGGGGCAGAGCATGTTTTGGGTTGTTTTGGGGGCTAGAAGCAATTTTCCCTAAATTTAAATTCACAATTCTTAGTAATATTATTATATAAGAACATAGCTTAACCCTCAAATTTATAGGCATCAAGACACCAAAACTCGGAAAAGTCTCATGCCGAGATTATTATTGTCATAAGCTCTAGATAAGAGACTCTCGACAATAATATAATGTTGATATGTACATAAAGCTTGAAACAACAAGACTTGATTAATTTAGAAATAAACAATCAGAAATCAGAGCAAAGTTATTCCAAAGCATCGTTAACAGTGTAGCTGCCGGGGAAACAAATACATGCCAAGTGGGCAAGAGAATAATGCTTCCATCATCATTCATAGATAATCCTAGAGATATGCGTCATAGATACATTGATGCAATGTCATTAGTACAACGATTTGGAAAGCAAGATCTTTTTATAACAATGACATGTAATCCAGAATGGGAAGAGATCACTGAGCAACTACATCCAGGTCAAACCCATAATGACAGGCCAGATCTAACCTCAAGGATATTTCGAGCAAAGTTCTAAGGCTTGAAAGATCAACTCTTTAAGAAGGAGATCTTTGGAAAAGTTACCGCACATGTTCACGTAATTGAGTTTCAAAAGAGGACTACCACATGCACTTATCTTAATAATTCTTATTGGAGATCACAAAATCACATCATCAGATAAGTATGTATCTGCAGAAATTCCAGACCATGCCCTCTTATGATTTGTTACTTGTGTAGAGAAGTACAGCTTGCCCAAGGACCAGACATTCGAAGAACTAGATGACATCCGTCAACTTAATCTACTTTCATTTGACTATGTGATTCCATACATTAACAGTATGAGAAATGATATTGTCGCAAAAGTAAAAAACACTTAAAAATAACATTATAAAAGGAAGATGCTACGCAAAGTCAATGAGCCAAGATGATTGGTCTATAAGTAAATTACAATGATGAAAAATGAAAGCATTGTGTTGATTTTTAATAAATTGACTGTGTGATTCCATACATTGATTTTTTTTTAAATATTTAAATAAAAAAATAGTAAATAAATAATTCAATTTAACATATTTGAACTCAAGATGAATCAAACTTATTTATAGTAATTAAATAAATATAAAAAAATATTTTGATATTTTACCACGTGCGCTGCACGTGCATAAAAACTAGTAAAAAAAATAAACGAGTTCAATTCTGAAAACCCTAACTCAACTACATGTTAATTCATTTGAACAATACTAGTAATCATTATTGAGTTTTAAACACTTATAAACCCTAACACGATTAAGTTTCATTCGTGCTATAAGTAGATGTGAATATTTAAGTTTTTGATGTAAAAATATGTGAAATAAAATTGGTTCTTCATGAAATTGGTTCTTCATGAAATTGGTTCTTCAAGTTCTCCTCAACACTATTGGAGATTGGCTTTGTTCAGTCCAAGGCAGACCACTCTTTATTCACTCTTCAATGAGATGACTTGTTAACGATTGCCCTTGTTTTACATCGATAATATCATAATTACTGGTGACGATCAGGTTTCTATTTCTCTTCTTAAACATTTTTTGCATTCCAAGTTGTTGGGATTTTTAGATCTTGCAAGAACCCCCGAAAACAACCAAACGCAGCAAATAGAATCATACGAGATTTAACATGGAAAACCCTCAATAGGGAAAAATAATGGGATCGAAAACAATCCACTATCACCTCCAAATTATAATCTCTTGCACTGACAAAGACTGCCAGACCCTCTCTCTCACAATACCCTTGAACCCGGTTACACCCTCTATTAAACCCTAATTACAAGAATATTGTCTCTCTCCTTCTATCTATATCAAAACCCTAGAATAGAAGATCTTATTTAAAGACGTCACTTACTTGTCCATCAAGTTAACTTGACCTCTAAGAAAACTAGTAGGACTGGGCCTAGACTTCAAACTCGCATCTAACTTGGAGTTCGAGTCGGTACCCAACACAAGTTTCATATCAAAGATCTCCCGGTCATCTCAAATACTTTCAGGAGTTCCCCAATCTAAAGCTGGTATTAATTATCTTCTGCAAAGAAAATATGCCTTGGTTATTCTCAATGACATAGGCATATTAGAAGGGCACACTGCTAATTTTCCAATAGAGCGCGCAGAATCTCAAGTTTTATCCAAACGATGAACCTCTTCTTTCAGATCGATCATTCTCAATTCTGTTGATTGATTGCCCGCCTTCTCTATCTAACTATAACAACGTCCGACATTATTTATATATGCTATCAACCTTCTCAATTCATGAGAGCATTAAACCGTCTCCGAGCACTGGCATACTCCTTTCTGCTCGCAATCCTTTCACAATACACGCATATTTATGACTCCGATCGACTAGCCTACTTGCTTCACTTCACAGAAATCTGAGAAACAACATACAGCATCCCACTCCTTTGCCGAAGCTGAGTATGGAGGCAATGGCGTCCGCTACATGTGAACTTCTTTAGATCAGTTGCTTGCTTCGTGACCTCCATGTTCCGGCCTTCAGCACTGCCACTTTGTATCGTGACAATCAAGCTACCCTTCATATTGCTTCCAATCCAGTGTTTCATGTACGCACGAAACGCATTGAAACTGATTGTCATCTAGTTCGAGATAAAATTCAAGATAGGTTCCGGGAACACCTTGTGTGCCAAGTCATCTTCAAATGGCTGACGTATTTAGGAGCCCTTGGCCGTGATTAGTTTCGCTCTTTGACGAGCAAGGTCCAGTCAAATCAACTTGAATTATTGTTGTTAATTTAAATTCTTGTTGTAACTTATTTGTTATTTTATTCCTAGCATCAAGGAGCGATCATAACTCTCGTATGTTGTAATCTCTCTCTCATATATATATATATATATATATATGAGATTAATGAGTATTATTATCATAGGAGGGGATTTCCTCCTTAACGCCTATGTGGCACAATCCACACCATCCTCATAAAATAGGAGAGAGTGTGTGAGTTGGTGAGGATTTGTGCCTCCTTTAGATCATCTCCAGCAGGAGGTGAAATTTCCCCTCCTTCTCTCCTGCCACATCACTTTATTTAATTCAATAATCTTCATTTCCCTATCAACTCTACAGCAGGAGATTTTTCAGAAAGTTTTTTACTTTATTTGGGACCCACCATAAACCACATCACTTCATCATATACCCCACCATATTTATTCATTCTTTTTCCTATTTCATATATATTACTATTTTATTATTATTATTATTAATATAACTCATATATTTATAATTATAATTTATTAATAATTCAATAAATAATATATAATATTTAAATATATATTATTAATTTAATTTTTAATAATATTTTTAAATTAACATAAAATAACACACGATTTTATTAAGCATACTGTGAGGAGTATCCCCACCAACATTTCCCAAAGACATTTGGGTGGAAAATTCTGGGATATCTGTAGATCCGCTACTAAACCGGGGTGTCGCTGGCTCACTCGACTCCGTGTTAGGACAATTCATATGGGAGGGAACATAGCTGCTTCCCGGAACTGGAGGATAACCGTAAGGAAGATAAGGATATTGCATGCCGAAATTTGGTTGCATCATGTACGGCATTTGAAAATTGGGCTGCATCCCCGTATTTTGAGTATTTTCGGGGCGTTGTATATTTGGATGTTGTGGTTGAGGGAGGGTATTTTGAGGTTGGTTAGGAAAGTTGTAGTTGTAGGGAAAATTAGGATAGTTTTGTGAAGGATCCATGAAGAAACTAGCTTCAAATTGTAGAAAGAAGAAAAATAGGGTGTAGAAACTCAGATGTTTTTTGGTGTCCAAATGACACAAAGTTAATCTCTATTTATAGAGTTTGAAAAATAAAAATTAATGGTATAAAAATTATAAATTAATTCATTGTATTTATCTCAAAAAATATCAATTAAAAATAAGGAGGAAAACAAAAATTGACGCCTAATCAAATTTCGCCACGCGGCAGCTGGCAGGCATGCGCCAGACCTGTCCGCGCGTGGCCTTGTCAGAAATACCCGGGGTGAATTTTTCACCCCTTGGCCTTGTCAATTTGATTCACCTTTTCAAAAAAACCCTGCTGCAACCAAATATCTCTTCAAATAACCCCTGTTGCATATGGTCTTATGAGGATGATGGGGATTGTGCCACATAGGCGACAAGGAGGGAAATCTCCTCCTATGACAAGGATACTCATTAATATCTCTCTCTCTCTATATATATATATATATAATGTTCACAGTGAAGAAATGAATAGAATTTTCATGTTCACAGCGAAGAAATGAATAGAATTTCTCAGCTTACGAGAAATGATGAATAGATAACTAAATTGTCTTACTCATAATAATTCACTCCCTTCTCCAGGTTCTTCATACCTTTTGCTTTTTATGATTATCATATGTTTGAAGTCTTCCAAATAATGATAGTGTTAATAAGAGGATTTCTAGTACTTAAAAACAAAAATCTTAGGTGCATCATAAGCCTTTTGAATAGAAATATTTCTAACCTATATATCAGTGCACGAAACAAGTATTTCAAATATTTTCTACGTCACTAGCGTCTGTTATGATCTAGTGGATACATTCCTCTTTCGTCATAAAAATAAGTTTATATAAGAAGTTTGAAATATCATGGCAATTATTTAGTTCAACTTGAAGATGTATAGTCTCCATTCAAAGATATTTTTAAAATATTAGCCACCACATATCATCCGGATAATCAGGAGGTTCCAATTTGACTCTCACAGTCTTGGATTTGATTCGGGACTTGGTTATTGTTATGTTTGAAAGTTAATTTGTGGGTGGAATGGAGTTAGGAGAAGGTTAGGGGTCCTTGATCTCCTCTGATGACCGATAAACTAGAAAAAACAGATCTTGCACGAGTAACAGACATTACAGTCTCCGGAGGAAATTTCCTCCGGTGTGCCCTCTGACGCTCAAGTCAGTGACTGAAACACTCAGTATGAACGACAAATGTAGGATCAAGTTTAGGGACTGAAACACTCAGTATGAACGACAAATGTAGGATCAAGTTTAGGGTTAATATAGTCCAGATCTAAGAATGGTAGGAGTGACCTCTATTTATAGGAGAGTGTAAGGACAAACCGATAATTTGACCCGACTGGCAAAATTGACATTTTACTTCCGCTTTGCATATGTCGACAGTTAGGTGGGTGAGCATGAGGGGCCGCCCACAGCGCGTTTAACGTGATAGCAACATGGCGATGGAGCATGGGCGATGTCCGAGGAGTCATTATAACGTCTGGTCATGCATTTAATGCGATGGCGACTGGGTGGCGGAGTTATGAGCACCATCCGAGAAGTCGTCATAGCATCTGGCCGCATAGTTAATGTGGATAGTACTGACGAGGCAGTCAAACATTTCCTTCCTTGCCTTGGGAATAATAATCTCTAGCGGAGTCCAATCTGAAGAATCTTTCGACTCAAACTCTGGCTCTCCCTAGTGGATTATGTCCTGAAGACGTCTTTCAATTCAGACTGTTGGAGGGGTTGGCTTGCTTGGTCGAGCCGTGTCTATATTTGGGTTAGGTCTTTTAGTCATACGCTCCGATCCATGCCACTAACACATGGTCAATTCTTTAGGGCCTATCAGTTATCAAACTTGTGATTTTTAAGGTATTACCGTTATTAAAAAAAGGCATTTAGAAAATTTGAATGATAACAGACCTGGTGCAAATTGAGAAAGGGTCCAAACTTCCTACATATTAAAATTGCTCAGATGGTAAAAGGTTGCAGATAGACAACAAAAGGTCGGAATTGATCAAATCTTTATTCCCAAGAAAAATAATAGGGAAAAAAGAATTAAAAAAAGATAAGAAAAAGGAAGAGAAAAACCAGCATGCTGACGTTGAGGATAGAAAAAGAGAGGAAGAAGAAATGTTGGAGATGTTCCCAAAGTTGTGATTATTTTCAAATAATATGAAATAGCTTCTCTTGATTACTGAAGTTAACAAACAGAATTTTGTTGCATACAAATGAAAAAATTTGGAGAAAAGAGTTTATTGCTGTCATCTCTTGCGATTACTAAAAAGCAAAAGTTAAATTACCGGAGTATATCATATCAAAGCCTAAAACTCCCGACTCAAATGTCAAAAGGAGATTAAAGGATAACCCAGTTCTCAATTATTAGTTTGAGGTAGCAATAAGAAACTAAGTTTGCCACAATTCACATTCACCAAGGGAGTGTTTGGTTCAATAGTGGGCAAGAATAAGATTAGGAATCCCATATTTTTTATGGATTTCTAGCTAATCCTTAAAAATTTTAAGACAATTTTATATTGTCATAGAATCCTTTTTTTTCCTATGTTTGTTTCATAACATGAAAAATAGAATCCAACTTTATAGAAACCCTCCAATTCCTATTCTTTAGTTTGGTTTGGAATGAGAAAAGGATTTGGTCTCATAATAATATAGGGTTTGTGAAGAAACAAAATCCGAAAAAAAAGAGGGAGCATAGTACAAATGCGTCAGCTTTCTGCCCCAAATCCACCCAAATCATTAGAATTTGAGTTTCTATAAAATCAGCATACTTTTCCAACTTTATAGATTCTAAAATTTATAAATTTTTGGGGAACCAAACTTAAGAATATGATTCATAAAGAATCCTTTATTTATAATTTTATCATTGTCAGGCCCAAATTCTATTCCTTTTTTTCCATAAAAATGGTGAAACAAACAGCCCCTAAGCAATTCATACGCATAACATGCTTTGTTCATTTAGACATCACTAATAAAGACTGATGACAAATCCTCTTTAGCAGTGGCCAGGAGATCTGGTCCATTAGCTACAGCCTTTTATCCCAAATAGATTAAGATTTAGTTGCGGATAGACCCTCTAAGCTACAAAAGTGTAACCAATTATACCCTCTAAACTATTTTATTAGCACTCGCACCTCTAAACTATTATGCTCAACTCTAAACAACGGCATTTCTCCATTAGCAAATGAGATAATCTTCAAAAAATGTTTTTCTTTTTCAACTGTGAACACGTAGAATCAATACAGAAAACAAGCCAACGCTCCACAAAATCTCTAGCAATAACATGCACGGGGCCCTAAGCACCAATCATAATCCAAAGCACAATATGCGCAATAGATGCTGCAAACATCAAATTCAATCAGACCAGTGTAAAACTTTATCTTAAGTCAGATGAGATAGATGTGTAAAGAAGCTTTGATAAGATAGCAGATGTGTAAAGGAAACTGGCCACGTCAATGGTAGCAAAGATACAGAGAAAGGAACATCAGTGGGTTAGTAGCCACTAAACACAGCAAATCTTTTAGCCTTTTAAGAGCAATATTCCAATCTTTTCTTGCCCTGAACCAACACAGCACTGAAAAGATGGATATGCAATCACAACCAATGTGCAGTCATTTGAATGGTGATCCCCATCTCAAGACAACCGCATCAATTGAAATTGCAAAATTTACCATCAGTTCCCCACTAAATTTTAAGAAACGCGTAAAAGTAATGTGAAATCTATGGCAATGTTTCACAGTAAACCACAGTTTTTAAACAGTTTCACAACAATTATACCTCAAGTCCTGGATAGCTGAGTCTTAGAAAACTAACTAGTTTCCAATCGTCCGCGCTTTAGGTTAGATTGGAACTGGAGGTATCAACATACCCAAAAGCTGATGAGATCCCCTTGTTTCCAAAGCAACTCTTAGTTCAAAGCCAACAGAAACAACCACAAAGATTGATCTATCTACACAAGATACAACATGCTCACAACCACAAAGATTGATCTATCTACCCAAGGTACAACATGCTCTCTAATCTCTCTCTTCTCTCCCTCCCTCCCCTCCCTCCCTACCTCCCCCCCCCCCCCCCCGCCCCCCCCCCCCCCCCTCCGCATCATCCACAACAAAAGCAAATCTCTTTGATGACCTGACAATTTTTGCTTCAGGTTTTACTCTTTGGTTGGTAATTGTCCTGCCATGACCGAGTATTTACCAGCTGTTCCTGGTTTTACTGTCTATAAATGAGTCAATAGACGGTTCTCTTCCCAGATAGTTTCTTAGAATCTCAAGGGGGTCTTTAGCTCCTCCTGGTGCTAGTACCTGCCCAAGTAAACAGCTGCTCTGTTAGTTAGCATGGATGCAAATGACGATAGATATGATATTAAGAGAAGGGGGGAAATATTATATCACAGAAAGCGAAACGAGCTCATATAAGTTTTTTAACTTCAACTTTGAATGTGCAGAATATTTCACGTAGCTTTCTATAGTATTAATGTGTAGAATTCGTAGTTCACATTTGCATTTCCTAAGACACTTATACCATCAAAGTACATTGAACATAGGATATTTTTCCTGGAAACCACCTTAAAAATAGTCATACAGGAACCACCTTTCATTTTCAACTTATACATAAACCACCTTTAATTGGGATTTTGCTCCAATCAACCACCTCCTAAATAAATTTTCACTGAAAAACCAAAACTAACCTTAAAAGATTCATGTTTAAGGTTCACTTGTATCCTAACTAGACCTATAGATTAACAAAGTGAGTCATGTGTCTTGACTGTGAGTTTTCAAAGCGTATTTTTCGGTTTTCGGTGAAAATTTTGACTAGGAGGTGGTTGATTGGAGCAAAAACCCACTTTAAAAGTATTACATATAAATTGAAAATGAAAGGTTATTTTTGTATGGTGACCCTATTTTTAAGGTGGTTTCCCAGCAAAACCTTGAATTTAAGCTCTTTCATATGTTATTACGTAAAATTTTCCTTTCATTTCATATAATCTCTCTCTCTCAGACTAGAAAGTTCCAAATTATCGTTCAGATTATCATATGCAGTGCAACCAACCATAGGTTAATAAGTAAGACTTCTTATACAAAGATGAAATCAGTATGACATCTGATGTTAGTGATGATATAAAAAAAACTAAAATCCATAGCCCTACTTGACCAGAATAGGGTCCACAATGATTCAAATGTTGAGAGCTGAGTTTAGTTTGGCTCAATTTTTCCCAAGGAAGTAGCCTTCTATCTGAACTTACAGTGCCAAATCACTGAGGATATGTTTATTCACTTCAAACAGTTCACTTTTAAAAACCACAAAGACGGAGAAAATATTGACAATGTATTCACAGGTCAAAATTTGAATAGAAGATATGGCACAGGACATTACCTTATTTCTCAACTGAAGGCCAGCAGTCTGGTTTTGTAAATCATCTTTGAATTTTGATGCAAATATATCAGCAGCAAAAGCCTATAGAATAGTCCACCAAATGGTTTTTCTTTCAATCCATCAAAGGGGATTAACACCCCAACAATATCAGCAAAAAGAAGGCATCAAACCATACCTCACTCCAAAGGTAACTATAGCAAATGGCTTCACAGCCAACAACATAGCGAGGGAAACATGAGGCGGGATTAGTCCCTTCCAACAAAGGTATACCTAACATAACCTGGATGAAAGATCAAGCAACACCGTGCAACAAAAAGATTAAGATATAGACACTTGATGCTCAAATAAGGTAGGGGGAAAAAGAATAAAGAAAGAAAATAATCATGCTAGCTATTTGCACCTTGGGATGGAGGTCCTTGAGTAACTCTACTATGTCCACGTCTTCACTTGAATGTATAATCTGATCAATAAGGCCTGTAAGGTGCAAGAATTCAGTTGTGCTTGGAATAAATTGTATCCACAGGTAAGGTATCAAAAGGAAATCCAAACAATCTAAAATAAGTAAATAACTAATAGCCTGGCTATCAAATGGTAAGAGTGGGCCACAACCATAAATATTGAACAAAAGCATTTGCTAGAACCAAATATGACTAACAATAACATCACAAATCAAATGATGCAATAAATATCTGAACCAACTTTGAGAAGGATGAAAGCTTGATAAATTACTTAAATGGGTATGGATAAAGGAAAAAACAACACATGCAGGCTTTTTCAGACTAGTTAGGAGCATTGTTTTAAAAATCCCCGATGTAGCCAATATAACAGCCAACGTATCCTTGCATAAAACTTTCCACAAAAGACATTGTCTCAATATCCTTCACCGCTTTTGGCAATTTTTGGGCGATATATCCCCGATATGGCAAATATATTTGCCGATATGTTGGCCAATATGCCCTTTTATATGGCTTGTCACAAGACAATATAGTTCTACAAAATTTCTTTACTGTTTTTTAGCAAAAATTCCAGCCCTATGAAACTTTTTAGCAAAATTCTACTAGACTATTTCCCTAAATAAGTTTCTACAAATGGTCAGGGATCCAAAACATATATCATTTGCAATTTTTTGTGTGCTTAGATTTCATTAAGTATGCTTGAGTACATTTTTAGGACATCATATTATATATGCACATTATCTGATATGACACTGCGATATTTACGATATATCCAATATTTCCCCGATATCCACAATGCAATATGGACTTTCGCCATCTGATATTTCCTCGATATCCAATATTTAAAAAAAAAACCCGGTTAACAGTAAACACAAACTGAAGCATGGTTACATTTTAAGGAAAAAGCCAGAACATTTTCAAACATATAAATGAACAAGACTATGAAGGAGGAGCCTAATAGTTTAAGATGTGGTATCATGGCAAGCAGACTATAAGTCACAATTTCCAGAACTTTTCTCACAAAATCCAGAATAAATTTTCAGCCAGAATTTCTCAAACAGTAACGAGATTTTTATATCAAAAGTAGCCTTTCATATTAGATAACAAAATAGGAATATTAACAGTAATAAATAATTTCCTAAATAACAATGATAAATAATAAGATAATATAGTAATTCATCTAAAATCAAAGAATAGAAGGAGAAGCTGGGCTGTCCCTTAAATGTTCTTGCATTCAACAGATCCTTATTCCCAAAGAAAAGCACTGTGAGGCAGCTTCTGTACAAATGTGTGCTCATACTTACGAACCATATAATGATTATGTGTGCTCATACTTACGAACCATATAATGATTGCTAACACCAGTTACATTGATAACTAGACTAGATACAGCAACCAAGGGGAAAGACAATTTAAAAGCTGATAATCTGAAGTAAAGCATATAAAAACGCATGTGAATGAAGGAAATAAAGAAGTTATTATTAAACCTGCATCACAACAACTGCATTTGCACCATGAAAAAACTATCTAGGTGCAAATAAAATAATATATTAGTGACTTACAAAAAAGAATTTCTTGCTTCAATTTAAGACCAGAGAACATATCTCGTCGTCTTTTCAAGGCTCTACACATCTCACTTGTAATGGATTTTGTAATATCCTGCAAAACATAGATTAAACACATGTAAAATTTATTCCATAACAGTTACATGCTAAGTTTTCCAAAACATAATTTCCCTGCACATGACATGATAAGACATGTCTTCAATTTAGATTATGACTCCTTTCAGATGCTGCACATCATGATATAGGAAGATAGTCCTCTAATATCCTTATTAAAATCACTGATTTACTGGCACAACGTTCCTTCATGGAAAAGGAATATCATGTGTCAAATATTATAAAAATAAAGATTGAAACATAGGTTTTTTCTCCCTTTCTTCTTTCAGAGGTAAATGCTGCCATATGTTTTTATTTGAAGAATCAACAGATAGAATTTCCCGGAGTTATCACAGAACTCTGGAGTTGCAAGCAGAAACATCAGTGCAATAATACCATGCGTCAAAACATAAGTATCTCAGTTCACAGGACTTGTTAGCTACTGCCCATTTTTAACTGCTACAACAATGGATAGAAACAAAAATGTCACCTGATGGAAACCGGACATCATTTTGAGACAGCCACCTTCGTAACACCTAAGCAAAAAAGTTTTATGTAAAGAATTGTTGCCTGGCGGCACCTTTCATGTAATTCGAAGTAATAAAATTTGAAATTGCCGAAATTTACCAGTTCTCCAGCAGTTGACTAGGAATTTCACTGAAATCGGCTTCAATGCGTAACCCAGAAAACCTAGCAAAAGTTGCTTGATTGCATATATGGTGGACCTGACAAGGAGGTGAAAATGTGAAATAATATACAGATAGCCATCAAAATCCTGGAGAAAGCACAATCAGTTGATTTTAACAATTCAGTACCAAATATGAATTCTCACACTTTGCAGTTTGCACTTCAACAATTCTTATATTTAAGAATACAGCTTACAAGGAAAATAGTAATATTTAATTGCAAATTAATAGATTAACGACTCATTAATACACAGTATAATATTTTAACATTTATAGATAACTGCCCTGATCATAAACTTTAAATAGATCAAGTTACTCTGCTAATATCAAAGTTTATGCAATGCAAAAGGACAATGGTTTATGAGTAGTATGAACCTTCTGGGGCTAACGCATAAAGTATAAAGCAGGCTTAGTATATTAAGATTTCTTACTTAGCGAGAATGATGTCTTTTGCAGGTGCATCATGATCCTTCATAGAAAAAAGAACTGAAAGATGACAATAATGTACTGTGCATCTGCAAATTTAAAATCCCACCAGGAGAATCACAATTTATTAACAATAATGTTGTATTCAAGTCATAAAGCCATGTCTTTCATTTTGCTAGAAGCTTACAAAGATGGCTAATAAATGTTTGTTTGAAGTCAATTCACCACGACTCCATTTCCCTAGAAGCACAGGAAAATGACAACAATAAATGTTTCAAGGCAGCTTAGTTTAAAGACCATCCAAATCAACCCCACCTCATTTATTGTTTAATAACCTAATTTTATAGTCTGAACCCGATTGAGGGATGGACTGCTTATCAGGCATGCATCAGATTTGGGTCCTACTCATGGTATCAAATTCGAATGCAGATCCATGGTATCATATGAACACAACCTATTAACAGCCCCAACTGTGGAGGATCTTCCAGCGAGCAAAAGCATGATTAAGCTTTGCTTCCACGTATTTTGAATTTTGTCATCATAGACAACTTCAATTACCTGCTGTTCAAGTTCTTGCAATCGTGATTGCACTGGCAGATCCTTGTGTTTCTGCTTGCAAGTGCAACTATTACCAGATAAGGTCAAGCGTAGGGATTGCAGAGCCATTGCTACTGCTGACCTCATTGTCATTGCAGCTAAACAAATACCACTACTGTGACGACAATGGATGTGTATTAACACTATAGTGACACATGAAAAAAAAACTGAAAGGAAACAAAGCAGCAAAAAGAACATGCAATTACTATAAAGGTAAAGATCACTGATCAACCACATACAAACTATTCAGAATAGCTAATTCAAACAATTCAAAAGAGTAATTTGAAGTTTGAGATCAACATACCACATGAGTAAACTCATGGCAGAGACTGACAACTTCAGAGAATCTCAATAACACTGGATTTTGATCAATTGGTTTTGGACACTGAGATATTAGTATTGCAACTGGAATCTACACAGGTGAAAAGGAAAAGAATTGGTAAGATGAAAATATAGAGTGAACTAGTGCAATATTTGCTAATTAAGATGTCCACCGTGCAAATTGATATACTTAATAAAATGCTTAACCATCTACTCAAGCAGAAAATATATATATCAGCCCATACAATGACCAGAATAAGGTCCTGATACCTTCCAGGCAAATCACACACAAACACACACAAAATAAAAAATAATAAAATAAAATAAAATTAGGTGACAGAAATTTAAGATTCCGAATTACATTTAAGAGGATATTAGCTATCAATATCAACCATTCAGTAATCAGTATACATTATAGACTTGCTTCCCAGCCACCACATTGTACTTGGGTAAGGCTTAAGATGATCATTGCAATGAAACTCCTATTACAGTTTGGAAAATCATATGCTTGTGGTCATAACTAATAACTCAGTGCAATATACATTCGTCTGTCCAATTAACATCTGTCGATGCTATCTAAAGGCAAAAAAGAAAAATAAAATAACTGAAACAGCCAAAGGATGTCCAGTAATCAGATGTCACTTCACACAAGGATATTTAGTTGTAAAAAAATACTTGCACAAAAGTGAAAAGAAGTCGATAGCAAGGTTAAAAGAAAGCAGTGATCCATCTCCAAATACGAAAGGCAACACGAAAGGCAACACCAATGATTACATTAAAAAAAACATCCTTCTAGGTTGATCCAAAATACAGGTAAAAGTTGAGAGGCAGTTGACTGGTAGTACCTCAGAACGTGATTTCATTGGCTAGATCTTTTATGCCTCAAAAATGAATGTAATTTCTCACAGCAAGCTGTCACTTCATCAGTCGCCTACAATCATATCTAGACTATACAATCTAGAAACTCATTTCTGATTGTATAGCTTACCTTCATGAACTAAAAACTTACCAAGAAATTTGATCGACTGGGCCTCAATCAACTAGGACTTCCACCGAGTAAAAGAGTGCTGGCTTTGTGTTTACCATGGTGTTTTCCTTATTGTGTTTTTGTAAAAAAAAACACAATGGCGCTGTGTTTTTCCCTTAAAATGTTGTAAAAACACCATGGTAAGTATTTTTGGTCAACACTAGTTTGACCCATTACAACATTAGTATTAAACATATTACTAATATATTATATATTAATTATAATAAAATATATTGTAATAAAATGTTATAATATTTAGTTTACAATATTATAGTATTATAAGCATTAAATATAATGCAATATAATATTGTATAATGTATTATAATATTATGTTGTACTTTAATGAGTTATATTATATTATAATTACTATTATAATAGAATTATTACATATTATTTTCAAATAATTATATATTGAATTATTTTGGTATATCAATTTGTTATTGTTATATATTATATTAATATTTTTATAATAATATTATTTTATTATTAATATAATATTATACTATTATTCATATAATATAATATTATTAATAATGTTAATATTACAATTTATTTATTAAAAAGAATAATATTATAGCAATTATACTATTGTATAGTAAATTATTATATTATTATTTATTATCAATAATATTTTTTATTATTTTTATTAGTTTATTTATATTTTACTATTATTTATTATTATAAAATGCATTATTAACATATTAAATACTAGTATTTAATATGTTATTATATTATTATATAAGATATTTTATTTATTATATTTTTATATTATTTAATAAATATTACTATATTAGATTAACTATAATATAGCATAGTATAATATAGTATAATATAAAAACCATGTTGATAATAACTCTATATTAATTACATTTAATATATTATGTTAGATATTATATTAACACATTCTCAAACTCAAAACTAAAACACCAAACTTAAAACACCTAAAATGTGTTTTGAAATAAGTGTTGTGTTTTAGTTTGAGGATGATTTAGCTCAAAAAACACCATGATTTCCAAACGCATGGTGCTTTGTTTTTGTCAAAAACACCATGGAAACAAGTAAAACACCATGTTATCCAAATACGGAGCCTAAGTCATCATCAAACAGTCAATATTCATGTTCATAGGAAAAGGCTCAGATAATGATGACAAGGATAACTACAAGTTAACTCACTCAGATGAGTAAATAAAGGTTCGGCTATATAAGAATAAAGAAAATGGACATTGTGTTGGCTCATTAAAGTTGAAGAAAGGATGGGATGAAGCTAGCTTATATGCAAGTAGCAATGTTTATGTATGTATATGGCATCCTATAGTCCAATTCTGTAATTCATAATTCAGCCACATGTAGTCGTGTCATTGACATACATACATTGCAAAAATCTTACAAGATCAAGCCATGTTGACTTGATCTTCCAATCATGATTCAAACGGATGCAAAAGGATAAATTTCAGAAGTAGGCAAGTAGCATATCATAGTCGGACTGAAATCTCATAATCTCCATTAATTTCTTGGTAGCAGCCTTTGAAAAACACATTCTAACTAAATCATCCACCAAATTACTTAGTAATTTGAGAAATTTGAAGACGAAAAAATATCAAAAACAAAAGACGCACGGCATAATCAGGTAGTAGTTTTGTTTATTATGTGCTCATAAGGACCTGAGAGACTAAGTTTTATCACATATGACGATTCCTTATGTTATGGTGTTTCACTCGCCAAAGTGCAACCATTTGCTAACAACGAACAGGTGTAATTCTGCATGCAAATGCCTCAATCAAATTGGTGGCCAAGACCAACAAGGATTCCAAGTTAGCCGACTCGCCGAGTTGACATTCCTTTATGTCAACTCGAATGGCGAAACTTGTCGGTCCCCTTGTCGAAGACAACTCGCAACGAGCCCACTCGGTCAAGTATTCGACGCCTCACAAGGACGACTCGAAAGGTGTTACTTCTCGACGAAGCTAGAGTACGACTTCAGCCTCGATCCTCTCCCGCTGACACAACGTCGATGTCGCAATTAATGCTTGGCAAGCGCCATCATACCTCTAGCCCCGATAGTTTTCATGACTCATCGGACCACGTCGACACCGTCATGCCCCAGATCGCTTCACATTTAATGTTAAGATGATCTCTCCTCCAATCGTCAGCCGACACCAGTAAAGCAAGAGCTGACTCAGCCGTCAGCCCATACTTCTTCACCGTCATCCTGTGCTCGACCACAATGACGGTTCTACCCTTATACCATCGGTATAAATAGATGTACTATTCCAGATATCAAGAAGAGGGAAGCAATTCCACTACACTATAGAACTCACGCAATTCTTCATTTCCCCACTCAAGCTCACCAGGTAGCTTGATCATCGAAGGAACCACGAGGGAACCAGTCCCCGTCCTCTCACGAGTTTCTATATGTGCAGGGTTCAGCCACTGAATATTGATATCAAGTTAAGGTTAAAAAAATATGGGAAAGAATTCCACAATTTCCCCAACCAAAAGAGTCTGAAGCTTAGTTCACATAAATATACTTAGTGAGGGTATAATGAACAGTATTACAATCACGGTGAAACAAAGTAAAAAGACATAAGCTGTTAGAACTGCAGTGGTCACTTGAACATAAATAAAGTATACAACCAGATGGCTGAAAAATAAGCAAGAAAACAAAAGAACCAATCAAACAAATTTCTTGAAGCAAGACGAGTGTAAGGAAATAACTAAAATGTCAATACGATCTCTAGAAAAGGATTGATCATACTCCACAATACTTTCTGAAGTAAACTAATAATATTGTGTCAAACACTTAGCTTAAGAATTTAGAAAGAAATGAAGTCAGACATTGAAATAACAAATTCGAATAATTCATAAGACAGCATCCTAAACAACACAGATAACTCTACAGTACTGAGAGCAGCTGTGTTGGGTAAACCATCTGTAAACTAAATTAAATATTGGGCTCCACACGCTGAAAAAATGAATAAATTTTATAAGATGTTAGAGATAAACATCGCAAAAGATCAAAAAGATGCAAAACTCCAGAAAGGTAAAGGCCTGCACCTGACGTGTTCCACCAGACAGACATCCATTTTGAAGGGGCAAAATGCATGTGTGAGTATATTTTCCTTCTCTAGGGAACAAATAAACAGAGTTTAAGCTTTTCACCCAGGTAATTCAATTAAAACAAAACACAGCTACTGTTAACTAGAGAAAGAAATGAACCTGGAGAACATATCTAGGTACAGATAACCTAACAGCTCACTTGTGCTGAAATCCAGAATAGAATAGAGGCAGACTGTTCCATGCCAAACCTCAGCATTGCTAATTTCCTCGAACCTTAAGCCTGTATCAGGTATAATCAAGTACAATGATTATATAAATATTTATCATAAATAAGTAATTTCTGAAATATTTTTGAAGCCTGTAGCTTTATAACAGCAGTGGCAGAAGTTAAATTCAGGAATATAATAGTTACCAAACAGATCTTGAAAGATCTTGAAAATCCCAGACAGGACTAAGTTGAAAGGAAAGTACTGCTTCACTTCTCCTAGATCCAGATTGAGATGTCGTTCCTCAGCTCTCTTCATATAGTACAAAAGATCCTCCATCCCAAAAGGAGAATCCCCTTCCTCTATTCTCTGACATGGCAGAAAGCTCTTAAATGACTCAACACTTATTCGAGAGAGAGCACCTATTCAAAGAGAACACTAGAGCAGCATAAAAGAATTATAAATAAACCTTTAAATCTTTAAGCATACTGAGCTCTATGTTCGCCAGCCCAGTAACACTGGCAGAGATATCCTCTAAAAATTCAAAGACCTGCAAGTTATAATGAAAAATTGTTAGACGGTGACCCCAGATTATGTCATCTGAATTGATATCAAAATGCGGATGACTTAGTTCAGACAATTGACCAGCAATTCAAAAGGACTTGGCATTGCTAACAATAAAAAAAGACGACGACTTAAATTGCTGATAACTTCCTCAATAGTAAAGAAAATAATCATAAAATATAATGACCTGCCCTGTAGCGTGCCTTAGAGCAAAAAATAGGTCTCTGGCCTTGAGCCTCACTTTCTTTTCACTTTGCCATGACTCATTTTCTTTTCATAGATTGGTACATCGATTATAACAAAAACAGAACACTGGAAGATAAGCAGGCCCAGATCATGTTTGCTTGTGAAATTATAGTCATTATAATATCAAACAATATTAAATTAAATACCATAAATTTTCACAAGTAAAAAACTTCTTGGAGGAAATGTTGGTAGGATCTAAATTGATACAGCAATTTAGGAACCACTTGGAAAAAAAATGCAGCACGTCAAAATATGATTCACAAAAACATGATCACACAAATACAAAAGATAATTTGATCAGAGACCCAACATTGCAAGTGAACATTTCATTTAAAACAACTTGGAAAAACTATGCAACGTATTAAAAAAATGACATAAATTACTTCAACAAAATTAGAGTAAAAGAAACCAAAATAGAAAACTATTTAAAATAGAAATCATGGGAAATTGTTAATTAGTTAGCTTGATACATTGTGACACAACTGGGTAGATTAAGTGTCAAGTGGTAAATTTGTATCCGAATTCAGGTTTTAAGAGGTCCCAGCGTCAAACTTACATCTATTCATTTACTTTAGTGCATTGTATCTTTCAGGGTTTCTTCCTAGAAACTGCCTTTAAGATAGGGTCATTACTTAGAAACCACCTCTGATTGTCAACTTGTGTGAACCACATTTAAACGGTTTTTGCATCAATCAACCACCTGGAGTCACTTTAAGTTAAGTTTTTTCGCTTTTCGCTTTTACTGTAGTGATTAGTTGAGAAATACCAAGTTTATTAGACAAATGATCCTTAATTGAGTTTAGGTGGGGTCAATTACCAAAAAAACTTAACTAAAAATTGGCTTGTGTGGTTGTTGCAACTAAAAACTGTTTAAAGGTGGTTTATGTATAAATTGACAACAAATGTGGTTTCCATAGAATGAACCTATTTTAAAGGTGATTTCTAGGAGGGAAAAATCCTATTCTTCGAAACGAAATCCACCGGAGGCCTTTTCACATGGCCTGAAGGCTCCGAGGGTAGGTGGGGTCAATTACCGGAAAAAGCTTAACTGAAAAGTGAGTCCACGTGGTAGTTGCATCAAAAAACCATTTAAATGTGATGTATAAATTGGCAATCAAAGGTGGTTTCTACACAATGAACCTATTTTAAAGGTGGTTTCTAGGGAGGGGGAGAAAACTTATCTTTCAAAACGAAATACACTGGAAGCCTTTTCACATGGCCCGAAGGCTCTACTGAGGGTACAAGCCAATAGCTTAACCTTTTGTCTAACTGGTTTCAGACAAAACTACTAGAACTGTCGAAGGAAAATGCAAACAACCTATTAAAATACCTGATGCAGTAAGCGGACTACTATACGAACTGCAGATGCTGGTTAGTGGTTACAGTTCATACAAACCTATCAACATCCTTTTTGCCGGAGAAAACTGGTTCTTTTTTTTTTCTTTCTTTCTGCTCCTTGCCCATAAAATCACTCACAATATCCTCTCTTTCTAGTTCGGCTAGGGAAACATTAAAAGGGAAATAAATTTTTGATTCTAGGGGCACTTATAGGCTACCTAGTGACTCCCTGACTTATTGACTTAAGAGACACGTCCTATCTTCTCTTGCATCACATTTTATAGAGAAAAAAGTGAAGCAGTAGAGAATCTAGAGATTTGGATAAAAGAAAATTGTGGCGAGTCTATCTTCAGCATGAAGTTCTGAACAATTCAAACGATAGATTACCTGATAATGGCATACAATTCTTCAAACAAGGTATATTGGATTAAAAGAGCCTATTGGAATAGTTATTTAATCATGACTCAGAAAGTATCAGTTTGAGTACAAGGTGAAAAATAGTTACAGAGGAATAAATCAATATGGTAAACCACCCTAATCCACAACACTCGTCCTTCTACTTTGCTTCAAAAACACTATTTTTTTCAAATGATTACTGGTACAAGAGAAATATTTGAATAAAATATAGTATTCATTATCTATTAATCTGGTACCCTCCAAACAAAGATTATATCCTTAACTAACATATTGGGAATATTCTTGCACCATTCTATTATACTTTCATTAACCAGAAGAATCTTTTCTCATCAGACCCTTCCCAGATCTAATTCCATGAGCTTACAAAGACTTTTCAAGTAGTTTTACTTTTGAACTGAAAACCAAATGGTTCAAGTAATCCGACACAATTATGAGTGATGAATAACAACAATAAATATAAAAATAATTTAATAAATTATTCGTAACATGAAGAAAAAATATCTGGCATGTAAATATTTAACTACCTAGCATTAATCTTCTAAAACATGCATATAAGATATTTAGAATTTCCACATAAGATAATGAAAATATGTTTTTAAAGTAACTGTACAAACCTTTGCAGAGTTCTTTGCCATTCTAGGTTCAATAACAAAGTCGGCATAGTTAGAATAACCAAGTAATCTTGCAAATTTATGCCGCAACTGGATCTGATTTAAGTATGAACAAGTATTAGCAAAGTCTATACAGTCATGACATATGAAAGACCCTAAAAAGAGAATAAGAAGAACATTTTAAAGATGCAGAAATAGATGCAACCAAACGTCAATTAGAGAGCACTAGCAGATATGAGATACAATAAATGTTATTTGATTAAGCCAGACACACTAGTAAAAAAACTCATCAACAGGGCTCAAGTATCACCTACTGTGTGTGTCTGTCATGAAATTGACGCACGCACGGACGTATATACAAAACATGGATGCGTGTGCGTGTAATTCAGCTAAGTATACATAAATATATGAATTTATTGCAGCATGTATGAAAAGTAAAGTTCAAAAGAATTGGAAAATAAGAGAATCGTTCATTTTTCTCACTCGAATCTTATCAACGATAATATCACCATAATGCCTCCTCAAACTAGAGCATATGTGTCACACACTCAAGCTTGTTACAAGGCATGCTCAATGACTTGATAAGCAAATTCAGTAATTGATTAACTGATTTTTCATTTCTTCACTGAGTGATCTTATCCCAGTTTTTTTTTAACCTAGAAGATAATGAAACTCAATATCCTTTATTCTTTCATGAAGCACGGAATTATTCATGACATACATAATCGCCTAACTGCTGCAATATAACTTCATCTTAGAAGAAAACACATAATTAACCTAATTGGGTAGTTGTATCCATACCATCTGACAAATAGTATTCATCATAGGTTAATGTTCAGGCTCTCTACTCGGTTTCAAGATAACACTTTGTTTCCTTCTCCAAGAAGATTCCCACCAGCATATACACAACAGCATCAACAGACCTCATGCCAAATGTCGTTCCTGTCCAATCTACATAAAAGAAACCAGCTATACACTGCATTGGAATTTTGAATACAGGACTCTTTACCGGGAGCAATCTTAAATGACATAATATCCCGATAAAAGGATTCCAATGATTTCTAACACCCGCCAGATCATCAAATTACTTCTCCTGCTCTGCTGGAAGCTATGTTACCTAGGTACTTCGATTAGGAAGCCATACCCATACCCGACACATAGTCGTACCCGTACCCAAACTTCTTGGACATATCTTAAATATATGCATATGTTTATCGGGGCTTATACTCAATTATATAATATATTTTTTAATTTAAAACACTCCTCGTGCACTTCTTGAATGTATATTCTACACTTCACATCTATTTTTTATATATTGATCTTATGTAAATGACAAAACAATATTGATCTTACACAAATTATTAATTTTAATACATATAAATATACATACATGGGTATATATAGTCATGTCCCCATACCCTACCTTTTACAAAATTACAAATCTACCACGCCTCGTACCCGTACCGCTACCAGTACCCATACCCATGCAATCTAGTCTGGAAGTTTAGAATTTCAACCAATTAAGGTATTCATGGGCTTGCATCCTAGCCTCTGCTAACATATATCTTAACACCCAAAAATAATACAAATGTTTGAGATTCTTCATGTGAAACTTCATTTGGATGTACTCATTCAGCTCATGGATGTCTCTCTCTTCATTAACTGTAACGAGTGTTGTTCATGCGCCAGACGCAATGCGGAGCGTAAAGTATCTTTATGCACACATGCGCAAGGCGTAACGCAATGTGCACGCTCGAGTGATGTGAGGCGCACAGAGCACACGTAATTTTTCAAGATAGACAGTCAAGCACGAATAAAAATGTTTAGGAATTCTCATAAAAGATATATCACGATATATAATATCTTGCTACCAAATCACAATATAAGGTCTTAATTTTTAATGCTAATACATCCAAAGTTCATACTTTTTAAAACCAAATGTCCGATCAAGACTTATATCCAAGCAAAATCAAATAGCAAACGAGGATTAGTTAGGGTCCTCAATTGAAGGCTACTAAAAAGGCCTAATAGAGTTATTTTGTTTTTTGGGATATGGGTTATCAAGTATAAAGACTCGATTAAAATATTAACGAACAATAATATATGAGGTTATATACTAAATGCACCATGTGGAATGCTTGCAGGGCGCAAAAGGTGCTACTGCATCAGGTGCGAGACGCTTTGCAATCGCCCCGCGTTACAGGGCATATGAGGCGCAGTGAGGCGCGCACCTTTGAAAATACTGACGGTAACTAGAATATCATCCACATACATGGCTGAGAAGATCCATCTTCTTTGACAATGTCAATGTGTGAAGTAGCCGGCGACGGGCGACTAGGGCTTGCTGCAATAAAGTTGGTAGTGATGGGGATTCTAGGAACTGAATCCCTTTTCAATATTTGGAACAAGGACTACGGTTAGAGTTGTAACTTTTATGGTTATGATACTGTGAAAAGTAAAGTTATGGAGAATTAGGGTAGATGAGATAATGGACTCTTCTGCCTCAGATCTCACTAATAATAATAGACTGACACTTTTACATAAAGAACTCAACTATAAAACTCCATAACATTATATACATGACAGAATCTAATTTTAATAAATGGCATATAAAACAAACAGATTTTTGAAGGGGACACAACATACTTTATCCTATACATAAATTTAAAGATAACAAGAAGTTTCGTATTGATGTTTGTTAATCTCGGATAGACTATCATGTTGGAGTGTGGTAGACACCATTTTCCTTGGGATAAGTGCCCCACATATGACTGTTGCAACCATCCACTTACTCTTCTTCTTCCTTTCAGTGCGGTGAGTGCAATAATAAAAAATAACATAGGAGTTCATGTCTCATGTTAAGTTGTAGTATTAACTGAAAGAAAGGGGAAGAATATGTTTTCATGGTGTATAGAGAGCATGTAACATCCCATTTACCAAATATGCAATGTTCCAAATCTAAAACTATTAGAAATTCCTTATAAAAGAATGTTACCAAACTATCCAAGACAACAAGATTTTCTTTTCCACGTCTTTGATTGTAAGCCACAGCAACTAGTTTCCTAGTTGCGCCCACCTGTAAGAGATGAATGCAGAAGATGTTAAAAAATAATACATAGACCCGACAGCTTTCTCAATCTTCAGTAATTAAACAATATGTAGAACACATCTAAATCCTCTAGAATCTTGGAACTTCTAAAACTAGTGAGTGTATAAGTTCAGCCAAATATTCGGATTTGTAGGAATTAGCAATTATCATGATCAGTTGACATTATTAACTTTTCAAAAAAAACACTAAAGGCAGCTATGCATGATTACAAATCTTGGAAAGACATATATATACATAGAAAGTTCAATCAACTAATACAGTAACAAGAACCTTTAACCCAATTTTTTATCGTGGCTACAGGAATTCTATTCTTTCATTGTTACCAGTTATATTCTTCATTAGGTTAACCATTGTCACAACTCCCCGTTTTTCTCAAATCCACCTCTATTTCTCCCTGCTCCACTAATTATAATCCCATACTGTCTCCTAACTGGTGCACTTCAATAAGCACTCATATTCATATAACCATCCTGATTTGATAAAGCATGTCATCTACAATCTTACCATCTTGACAAATGATTTATTCTAAACATCAAAAGTGCTTACTCCTAGGTATTCATTGAATGTCAGTGTGTACTATACGCTCATTATTTTTCACAGTTTTACCAAAATTACATGATATACATTCTATTTTTATGCTAAAATTTAGATCTTTTTTATTTAATAACTCTGTTTCGCCTTTCTACTTTAGAAATTATAGTTGCTCTAGTTTATCAACTAATAATCTAATATATACCAATACTAAGCTGCTAATTCTCCGCACATCAGGCCTTTTCTTAGCGACAACGATCTTGTTGAATAGCTTAGATGACCATCCTAAGTCATTTCTCTAAAAGACATTTCAAAACTTTAATAGGAATATCAAAGTTTTACTAAAATTATATTATATATTTGATATTGCTACTTGTGTTCTAATAATTTTAAATTATTTTTTATCTTAATAACTCCTCTTCACCTTTCTACTTTAGGAATTATCACTCTCCAATTTATCAACTAATACTATGTTGTTACTAAAGTCCTAATTCTCTACTCATCAGATCTTTTCTCATTGATAATAATCTTGTTGATTAGCTTATCTGAGCATCCTAAGCTCATATCAATAAGACATTTCAGAACCTGGGCAAGGATATCCTCATATCCTACCAGTGACTACCACTCTTCCAATTTTCATGTTCTGTAAAAGTGTCCTTAAGCTCATTAATCTTACTTTCAACAAACAAGCATAGTTCCCATCATGTTGTGTTATGTTATATTCTCCAGGATTGTTATCATTAAACAATTTATGAAGATAACTCCTCACCTCTTTCTAATTTCATCACCCATTACTAAAACTCTTTTGACCTTCACTCTTGATACATCTCCATAACCAAGTCTCTTCTCTTTGTTTCTCTCATTGCGGGCTCACGCACGCACACACATATCCTTTACCCGAAGACTCTGGTTTCTTATATAAATTATCCTACGTCTCATATATAGCCTAAACGCTTTTCTGTACATCTTTCCTAATTTATATTTTCAAAAAATCCCTCATTCCTTACTCCATGACCATTAATAACAACTATTTCACATGGAAGAATGCATGATAGTTCAGCGTTATACACCAGCTCCTAATGACTAGGACATGTTCTTAATCAGATAAACAGAAACATTGTTTTCTCATGTATGTAGAATCAGAACCTGGCCTGAAATTTCCTCCTCCTTTTATTTTCCCCTGATACTGGTACCACTCAAACAGTGGCGGAGCCACATACAAGTCAGGTTGGGCAAGCGTAGAACCTGGGAATTCGTAAAACCTCCGTACCTTAACAAATGAATTATCTAGACCTACAACTCTTTTACCCCTAGTCAATATTTAGTAATAAGTCACCTCCAACGTAAAGAGAACTAAAGACTCAATGAACTATTACAGTGCACTACAGTCAATTCGGTTCCCAATATAATTAAAAAAGACCTAACGATTGAAATTATCCATAAGATATCCTTCTACAGATAATTAAAAAAGATTAAAGATCATGGTGAAAGATGAACACATCACAATATACATATATTTTCATTTTCGTGTATGAGGTATATATGTTTAAAAATACTTTTATGAATTTAAAGTCTCTAGATATTCTTCTTAGTTTTGTATTTCATGCAACCTAATGAGAAGGGCGCCTATGCTGGATAAAAATCATGGATTCGTCCCCGCATTCAAAGCTGTTTGACCAACTCTGACATGCCTCCGATGAGTACCACTCTAACTTATATGATACAGGAACTCTTAAAGTCCCTAACCATTACACCAAACTCCAAAGTTCTAGTGAGGGTTGAGGGTTATTGTTTTATATTCTAACAGGAACAAATGTCTCCACTTCTTGAATGCTCATGCAGACTCTAGCATTATCCAGGATCCACATGACTCCAAATCTTAGCCATATTTTGCTTCAGGTAACTCATTTTTTCCCTGACAGGAATTATGAGTCGATGGGCTAATGGACAAACATTGGATTTGAAAGATACAGGATGATGCCATAGAGGTATTTGTTCACGAACAGAACAGTAGCATAAGACAAATCATGCTTAAATTACTAATTGGGTCAAACAAGACCTATTGGCCACCCATTATTTGTCAAAGTATCCTCAAATATGCTGATCAACAGATGACAGTTAGATGTTCAAATGAGAGCTGAAATATTGCAGAATAATAGACTGAGAGGTAAACTATGAAAAAGAGGCATGTTGATATTAAAAATTATGTGATGGCAAACTGAAAGTATACTGCCTTGCAGTGCTCAAGTATTGGTGAAACATGATGATTTCTCAGATGGACCTTCAGCTTCGCACTTTCAGTTTTCTCCAAGCTCTGAATAAAAAAGGAACAGTTACATTTACAATGAAAAAGGAGAAGTTAACCCATAACAGTAAACATCTAATATGCCAAGCTTGTAAACAATGCAAAATAGTGGTGAAAACTAAGATGCTGGCTACTTAAATACTGAAATAGTCATGAACAAAAGAGATGAGAAGCAACAAAATGAAGACTATAAAAACCACAAAACAGAAAGCACTAGGTGCTTCTTCTAGTTATTCAATCATGCATATTCATGAGTGCAGCAGGAACTCCTTTCTAACTAATAAAGTGAAGCACATGAATGCATAACGTAATGAGTTATAACCTTTCCCTGGAATAGAATAGATAATAACAATGGCTAATGTTACTAAGGAATCTATGAACTGCTAAAATTTATGTCTAGAAGACTGGCATAAAATAGAATTTCTTGTTCCTCTCATCTGATGCCATAAAGCATGTAATAATATGAAATACACTCACTTCTATTAGCTTATTTGTCGGTTCATTCTTGCAGGCACCTTGAATACTACATGTGGACATGCAATTATCAACCTAAGCCGCTCATCAGGATAATATATTATGAACTTTTCTTACAACACCACAAGAACATAGAGGCACCAAGATATACCAACATCAAGATGAAAGCAATGGATAAAAACGTGTACGCTATGGTGATAAATAAAGAAAGACTCACAATAGCAAAGCTATAAACATGAAAAGATTCAAGACCTTAGATATAGACCTTTATGAATTCTGGAGGCATTCCAGCCAGCTCATGATCGCCCAAGAGAAGAAAGCTGTTATCCTCATTCAAGTTTTGGATGTACTGTGCACTTAGGTTGTCTAAACGAGAACGTAAATACTCCAATTCTTTTCTCTTGCTCAAAGTTAGGTTAATACCATTCCGTTCGTAATCTCTAACCTGTCACTGGACGAAAGAAGAATTAGCAGCAAACTCAAGATAGTGTCATAGTTTACTTGCTTATGTCACAAATAAAAAAAAATAGAAAACCAAACATTAAACTCAAAATGTGAAGAGGGAAAAAATCATGAATCATAATATAAAAGGATGAAGTATAGATTCTATGTGCAGCTTTCAAAATTTTCTTGAAGCTTTTAT